TCATCACCGTTGTTGCATTCCTTCGTCACTTTCCAACAGTAATTCACCACATCGGCTACTGGTTCGAGGATGAGACTGTTTAGTCAACTTACCCCTGGAAAGAGGGACACACACGGCGGAGAGCGTAGAGACAAAGGATGAACCATGGGAAAAGGGAGTTGGGATAAGGATTCCTCACTACATGCAGTCAAATCGACGATATCGAACTGACACGCCGCCTCGTGGCCCCCATCGAGCGCAGACAGAGCCACCACGCGCCCGCATGCCAGTACAAGGGGCGTAATGCGGTCGAAGGGGTGTTAGGAGAAAGCACAGGCCCCATAGATGCGGGCCTCACTCTCAAATGCACACCTCAGATAACATGCACTGACTGTGGGTGGATTAGCATGCAGATTACAGATGTTTCACTTTGAGCAATATTGAGGTTCATGTAAAAATGCTAGGACATCAGCGAGTATCTGAAATGGTACGAGTGTCTGAATGGTGCAGCCTTGAATAGAATAAAAATATGTATGCACAGATTTTTAAGGCACGTACAGTTCACACCTGTATGTTTGACACAGCGCAGGTAGAAGCCAGATGAAGCCAAATTAATCAGCTGTTATTTGTATCCATATGCATTATTAATCTATGCGTTACATAGAATAAAAGGTATTGAATAACCAAAACTTAAACTCCTTAGCTTCAATCGTTAACAGAACTATGAAATCACAAAAAGGTGTGGTGTTACGCACAACATTTTTTTACACCCATCATGCACTTGTGTACTATTCTAAAATGGCTGAGCCAGACCTTCTCGTGTTTTCCCCGACTAGATGTTGCAGCCAAATTACCAAATGTTTTGTCATTACACGTTTCAGTGGTTGTTAGCCTGCAGGGATACTTTCATCGCTGCACACTTGAATGACAGCCTTTCAATTGCTTCCTTAGTTTTGCACACTCTCAAATGCACACCTCAGATAACATGCACTGACTGCGGGTGGATTAGCATGCAGATTACAGATGTTTTACTTTGAGCAATATTGAGATTCATGTTTTAATGCTAGGACATTAGCGAGTATCTGAAATGGTACGAGTGTCTGAATGGTGCAGCCTTGAATAGAATACAAATCCCCAATTTCCACCCACTCTCTTTTTGAGACAGCTGGTTTTAAAAGGATTTGGACAGTACAAACAATTAAAACTTGTGGATTCAGATATGTATTCAATAGCATATACAATCTGCACAGCACATGGAGAGAAAACAATCTCGTACAGACACTCTCCCCCATCTCCCTACGGTGTTGTCTATGTTGAAGGCTCTTTGTAAAGCTGGTTGAGTCATCCCTTTGGAATGCTAAGAGCATCGATTTTTCTCTTCTCGTTTTTTCCACCTCCCTTTTTTTCTCTTTCACCCGCCAATTCGGGCTTGCTGTAGAAACACTGGCTTTTGTTTGGTTTGATAAAAAGGGGAGCAATGAGCAGCAGAGGAGGTGGTCTTGGCTTGGTAATGGGAGTAGTTCCAGTGTAAGACGGGGAAGAGTAAAATGAGTAAGACAGCGATTCTGTTGAAAGGGGGGAGGGGGGGGGTTGGGGTTATTTGAGGTTGCTGTCGAGTGAGCTAACTGGAGCAGCAAACTGGGAAGGGTGGGGCAGAGCAGAGCAGCTCACGACTGTAACGAGAGGAAGGACCAGGATGTAGATTTACAATATTAAAAATGAAATGAAAAAGAAATGAAGACAAACACACTATCCTTTTAATAGAAAAATATGTAAGGGAAATTAGGCTGATAACATTTTATATATATTTACAGATGTGTTACTAGAGTAAAAAACTTAAAAGAATCTAAGCAAATGTAAAATTGTACTTGAACGCCGATTCTCTTTTAGAAATAATCTTTTTTAAAGTCTTTACAACTTCAGTTTAAGGTTACTGTTTATCTATTGATGTGTGTTTGCATCTGTGCAAACGCGTACGTACTCCTGTTTTAAGTGTACAGCAAATGTGCTACTGCATGTATGTTTAGCTCAGTGTGCATGTTTCTTTTTGTTGTCATGTGCGAGTACTTGTGTTGGAGCATGCCCGGTCACATGAGGGACACTGGAGCCTGAGGCCGCCCCGTGATATGTCCTATTTTTACGGGGAGGTATCCCTGGCATCTCCCGAAATGCTTTCTGGAGCACGTCTGAGTTGTCAGCTGAAACGGGAGACTTTCTAACGCGCACTTTTTTAGGGTGCACAGGGGTCCGTGCACACACAAGAGTTGGTAAACAACACTTATATAAACAAGTTAACGCCGTGTTCCCCAGAGACAGGAGCAGGGCTCTGTTCTCTGATTCCAGCAGGAAACTAACGATGTCAACTTGCAGCAGCATTGTTAATGAGATGTGGGGAGTGGGTCTGCAAAGTAAATCCAAATGCTATGTAAATCGCAATATGGACTAATACAATGTTCAAATCGCAGGAAGCACAATATTTGGCCAAACATGATTTTAAAAAAGACAATTTTTAATAAAGTATAGTGGAGCTGCAATGATATCCCAGCCTGCAGGTTCAACAAAAGAAATTGGTTTTACAGATATTGTTAAGAAATAGCACCATAATCGTGTATATATATATATACTTCCAACAGGAGTCATTTGGGGGGGCTCTTGGGTAAAAAGGTTGGGAACCCTTGTTCTAACGGGTACTGCCCTCTTCTCCTCCAGGTTGGGGTGAGCCGTACGCCAAGAAGAAGGAGTCCTCGACGTGGGAGCCTCCCGCTCCTCCACCTGTAAAAGTGGACAACGGGACGTCTGCCTGGGGGAAACCCATGGAGACCAACTCCACCTGGGAGGAGCCCGGCCGAGATAAGAGAGACTCCGCTGCGCCTGGATGGAGCGGACAGCACAAGCCTGGTAGGAGCACACATTCTTTGTTTGAAGCATTTATTTGGAGTCATTAAGTATTTCTATTAAGTCGCCAGTCATCCATCTTTTTAGTTTTCCAACAGCAATGTTTACAATCTCTCGTTGGTGTTCACTTTCTTCCTCTGTCCTTTCCTTCTTAGTAGCTCCAGGTCCCAAGCCCATGGAGACGTGGGGAGGAGGGGAGGGCAACAGCTGGGACCAGGAAGAGGAGGTGGAGATCGGCATGTGGAGCAACAGCCAACAGGACAACAGATCCCACGACCAAAACACCTGGAGCTACAAGCATAAAGTGTCCAGCAAGGTACGTTGACATCGAATTAGCGCGTCTGTAGCATGAGAACATAGATCCCTACTCTCACAGAACACCTGATATTAAATAGCAAAGCACATCCTTTGTAAAGTAATTGTAGCCGTCGTCTTTATTTTGCAGAATGGATTTTATTTTGTTTCTGAAATTATCATATCTTTTTCCCCCTTCGGAAACACTTGAAGACACTGGAAGCATTAGCAGCCAGTTGAACCATTGGTTATTTGTCTTACTATGTTTCAGATGAACAAACCAGTCAACAAACAGGATGAGCCCTGGATGAGGCCGTTCGTCAACCAGTTCAACAGTATGAACTTCTCTGTAAGTCCTGTTTCTAATGATTCTTCTGTTGCCTCTCATTTACTTTTAAATTCAGCATATATTAAGAAAAATGGCTGTTAAAATATTTTTTAAGCAGCGATTGTATTCATCTTTGGTCTTTTCGAATCCATTTTCCCGCCATGCAGAGAGACTCTCCTGACGACTCCATGAAAACGGGAGCAGGCATAGTGCAGGACAAGCGTATGGACATGGGCGGCATGGGAGACTACAACGGAGGGATGGGGAAGAACCCCGGGTCTCGCCACCAGCTCCACAAGGACTCTCCCATGGACCGTGGCTCTTACTATGACAAGGTATGCAGAAACATCAAAGTTACCGAGGTGTACGAATGGGGCTGGGGGTAAGGATCTCAGGAACACAGCAGCTGTGTTTCACCAAGCTCAAATAGAAAAAGGGGGGTTGTAGCAACAATGAATGAGTTGTAAATATGCTATACATTAGATACATTCAGCTAACAATTGTATTCAAAGCAGCTTACAATAAGTGCATTCAACCATGAAGATACAAACTCCTTTGTATGTATTTAAACAAGGAAACAAAACTTAGTTTTAAAATAATGAACAGACAATTTTATTTGCAGTCAGTTTACTGCAGTCAAGAACCAAAATGTGCACAGTTTTAGCTAAATCTAGCTATTTTGAACTACTACGTAAAAGTAACTTTACCAGTTAAAGGTTAAATAATACTCTCTGCCATTGTGGTGATCTTAAGGTAGCTGAGTCTCTCTGCCGTCTCTCAGCCCTGTGCTGCCCCCCAGTGGGGGTTCTCACGTACTGCATTGTGGTCTACAGAAAGGGATGTTAGCATGTTGTATCTCATCATTAGGATTTCTTATTAAGAATATATAATTTCTAATCAATAACAGCAAATTAAATATGCTTAAATATGCTTGATTGTTATTATAAAAAAAAAGGAACTTTTACAAGTGATTTGTAATTATACAATGGAGTCATCCCCTTAAATAGCTGCCCTAGGTTTGTTTGGCTTGCTTCTCTTCCTCTGATGGCGCTTTTCCACTGCAGGGCCTCGCACGGCTTAGTACGGTATGGTTAGGCCTTGGTAGGCGATCGGCTGTTCTGCGGGCGAAGCAACGCTGAGGTCATCTTCAATGCGAACCACAAAACCAAAATATCAGCTGTTAGCCCTCAGAGCTCACAGCTGATCATATCTGTTCAGAAACTAGACAAAAGTTAAACAAGTACAAACTAGGGCTGTGCGATTATGGCAAATATCATAATCATGATTATTTGGGTCAATAATTGATATCACGATTATTTTGACGATTATTCATTGACCATTTATTGAACTTTAAAACAAATAATATTTTACCAATAAACAAGATCAAAAAATATGTTGGAGCGCACTTTCAAAACCATACTAAACATATATTAATATGATAAATAAAAATAAATCAAATATGTTGCAGTGCACTGTCACAACCGACTGAAAACTCCTTAACATAGCCAACATTTTGGTAAAACATATTCCACATATTCCACTCAGTTAAACGTTGAAGGCTGGCCCACCGTCATGGTCCAGAAGTAACAGGAAATAAATGTTGAACTACAATCTAAGACCAAATAAAAATGTTTTGACCACCATGGCAAATGCTGGTAGGGCTTTTTGCAAGAAACGCCAGCCTGTTGACATGGTCTGGTTTCAGAGATGAGCGCAGGCAGGTGACAATATTGCCACCTGTACTGAAGACCCTCTCTGAAGAGGAACTTGTGGCAGTGCTGCCACATATGACACAGGAAAAAAAGAAAAGACTCTGAACGCTTTCTTTGCCGTTATATAAAAATAGTGTTGCTACAAAAGTATAAATTAGGCTTTAGGAATCTGCTGCCAAAGTGCAATAAAAAAGACAAAATTAATCGAATCAAACCCATTTTTTGTTGCATTTTATTAGAGTATAAAAAGAAATGCTTTTAAAATAGGATGCAAGCAACACTAGTTTCTTAACCTGAATTGATAATAGACTATAATCAATTTAAACAGAACAGATCTTAATGTTTGCATTCTTATACCATTTTTTCTACAATAAGCACTGCAGCCTTGCTCTTGTTGTTGGGCCTGGTGAAAATGGACTGTTGTGCATTTAGCTGTCCTTTCAGGCCCCTCCCCTTTTGGAAGAATTAGGAGGGAATTCTGTCTCGTAGCGTTTGTGCAGTTTTGAAATGCCGCTCCTAAATTACCCTTCTTCGATAAAGCCACGCTCGCATTGCAGATGAGACAGATGGACTTTGAATTGAAATAGATAACAAAATAATCATACTCCCACTCGGAGTGAAAATTATATATTTTGGGCTTTTTTGCTTCTGCCATAATTGCGGTCTTGTGTGTGTGCGGACTGTCACTCCTGTTGACACGGACTATAGAGGTTTCTCAATACTCAAATTTCCCCTCCTCGACTCCTATCCTCGACTCCTCTCCTCGAGACTTGGTGCCGCCCGAAGGAGATGCGAGCGGAGGACTGAGGAGGGGAACCGAGGAGAGAGGAGTGGAAGCAGCAGGCGGTTAGAGAAATGAGAACTCCTCTCCTCTGAGCGGTCATTTTAAAGAGACGTCCATTAATGATGACAGGAGGCACAGCAGCACTCTGATGGACAGATGTGTTCATGACAACTTATATATATTTACTTTTAATTCATTGACANAGGTACTGAAAAGGTCCAAAAAAAATTACTGGCATTCTTGGGAGACGAAATTTACATATATATTCCAGTGAAGTGTAAAAACCTTATTTGTGTGTTTAGTTTGGTGCCTGTTGTAAACTTGATTACTCGTCATCTACGTTACGTATAGAATCTCTGGTTCGTCCATACCATCAAAATGGGACTCCCACCGTACTCCAACTCCGTGAACCAACGCCTCCACCCCAACCCCCCCCTAGACGCTGACCCCGTGTGAGCCGGGACACGATGCGACGACCGGTGGGGAGTATCCCAAATGTAAGAGTCTCTTCCTGCTGTGTGTGTGTGTTCGTCTGTCCGTGTTTAGTGAAGTCTTTATTAAATTAGTAAAAACAACATAACGTTCCAAAGGTTCTTTAATTTATACTTAACGGTCTATTTACACACTTGGGCGATCTTATGGTAACACTTCAGACTGCGACTTCTGGGTATTTTTGGTTGTGGGACAAGGAGGAGCGGTGTGAGTGGACGGCTCGCGGGGGTCCTGAGAAAATATATGACTATTAACGAGACATAGTCCTATATGTCACGTATATAGAGGGGTGCCTTGGGGAGTGTTCGTCGTATCTTGCGTGATGCGTAGTATGGTAGCGACTCGAGCTGGACGACTTTTCTGGGTAGTTGTGGTAGGATTTGGAGCAAGAGGAGGGTTGGATAGGTTAGACGGTCTACCGCTGGTCTAGGTTGTTATACTACTGCCGGAGGTACAGGGTCTTAAGCTCCGTGCTCCACTTTCAGGTGGGACTCGTTGTATAATTATCTCCTTGTTGTCGAGAGCATGCGTAAACTTAACCTCTCGAGAGGATAGGTTCTCGTAGCAAATGCTAATTCCAGGCCCTGGAAAGGTTATGGAAAACTATATTTCTCCCAAAGTTTTGGAAAAGTCAAGGAAATGTAACTAAAGTTGCATCAAATATAATTTATATTTTATCTAATCACCGAAATAGTAATACTATAATAATAATAAATATCGTATAGTAATGAAACTTAAAATGGCAACTGACGAGGTATTTAGCTGGTGAGAGATTTGAGTTGCTTTAGCGTGTAGAAGCTAGTAAGCCTACCATTTGATTTGTTTTAGATAGACACAACATGTTTCATATGCAGACCTTATTTTCCTGTTCCATGTTAAAATCAACCATTTTCAGTGGTACCGCTGAGAAAGAGTACTTTTTTTGGTCATGGAAAATGAGGTAAAGGTCCTGGAGAAGTCATTGAAAATCATTGGTGAAAAAGTGTATGAACCCTGTTAAACAAATATGTTGTTTTGTGCTCAGGTGCCTCCATCCCTGTTGAAGTACCCGGGAGGTAATGGAGGTCTGAACCCTCTGTTCGGCCCTCAGCAGGTCGCTGTGCTCAACCAACTCTCCCAGCTCAACCAGCTGTCACAGCTCAGCCAGATCAACCAGTTACAGGTAGAGCCACACAAACAAGTTGTATCTGCACTCAAATACACACAGCAGTGAGCCTTGTGAAATGTTGCCTCGCAGTATAGTGTGACTCAGAAAGAAGTCCAAAAACACCGAAATGTGTTAAAACTTCAACAATTAAAATTGGTGTTGATATAGATACGGATATTATCTTGCTGAACAAAACATACTTAAAGCAAACCAGAGATGCAGAAACATCAGCAAACTGCTTTTATCAACATGTTCCTTTTTTGTTGGCCTGCAGCGTCTTCTCCTCCAGCAGCAGCAGCAGCAGCAGCAGCAGCAGCAGCAGCAGCAGCTGCAGCAGAAAGTTCAGAGCCATAGACCCATGCCTGTGGGACGACCCAGTGAACAGGTGTGTGTTTGTTTAAAAATGTGCTTCATTAAAACCAACATTTAATCATTTGTATTTCATGAACCAGAAGTGTCTCAATGTTTTCTTTTGTAATGGTTTTGTCTGACTTCCTTACTTCCTGTCCTTAGACTCGTCCTATTGGTTCGTCTCCGTCGATGATGCAGCCGCCTCGCCACCTGGACCCCTCCATGATGAAACCGCCTCCACCACACAAACCCTACATGGATAACTACATGTCCCACAATGCCCCTGACATGCAGAAGGATGCTTCTTCTCTTGGATCCTTCAGCAACTTCCCTTTAAGTACGTTAGCTGATAATAAATGCAACATTTTAAATCAGTATATGTCCCCTGATTGAGGAGTCGATATTTGACTTGATTTACCTTTATTTTATACTCTTTATGTTTTTAAATATGGAGAGACTGAATTTCTTGTCTCCTTTCTGTTTTCAGGCTTGAACTCTAACATGAATGTACCCCTGGACATGGGTGTTGGTGGAGGTAGTGGCGGTGGAGCTATGAGCTACAAAGAGCCGCCCCAGTCCAGAATGAAGAAACTTTGGTCTACTGACCCTCTGGAGCAGGACAGCAAATCTGGTACAGAAAAAAACGTTGTGTTTTGTTGATATTGAAAGTGCAATTAGAGTTCTTTTTATGGGGGGCTGGTCTACCTATGAGAGGGAATCTCAAACTTCTGGGGTAGAAACAATTGCAAACAAAGTTGCCCGACAAACTCGAGGTGCAATTTGGCAAAAAGGTGTTTGGATTCAAAGCATTAAACATTAAAATACATTTCAGTAAAATATTAGTTATGCACTTAATGTAAACTGTCATAAAAACATTTTCCCCCTGGGATGAATAAAGATTTCTGACATGAATATGAATAACCAAACAAATGAGTTTTTGTGTGTGTGTGAGTGTGTGTGTGTGTGTGTGTGTCTGTATCCTGATCTATGTCTTTGTTTCCGCCCTCAGGTGCTATGTCGTCTGGGCTGCGTCTGGAGGACTCTCCCTTCTACAACTTCCTGTCTCCTGGCCCGTCTCCCCTGAGTCCTCCCGGCCAATCAATGGGCTCGGTGGGAGATGGCTGGCCACCCCGTGCCAACTCCCCCCTGCCCCCTGGAAACACTGTCGCCTGGCCCCCAGGTACAACACACAGGCTTTTCTAGGACCAAACGAATAAAAACAAAGTGTTCCCGTTGACATGTTCTAATCCCCGTCTGTGTTTTTCTTGTTGCAGAGTTCCGACCCGGGGAGCCCTGGAAAGGTTACCCCAACATTGACCCTGAGACCGACCCTTATGTGACCCCCGGCAGTGTCATCAACAACCTCTCCATCAACACCGTCCGCGACACAGACCACCTCAGGGACAGGAACAACGGTAGGTCACACGCACGCACGCACACACACACACACACACACACACACACACACACACACACACACACACACACACACACACACACACACACACACACACACACACACAGAAAGACGGATATGAACACAAAGTAGGGTTGAGTTTGAAATAAGGCTGCATGATATGTCGTGACGATCATCGCGTTATGCGCATAAGCAATATTCACATCGCAGGACGTGCAATTTCTTTTTTTTAGGACGATATTAAGTAGGCAAATGAACTCAAACACGTCATGTTACAATTATTTTGCTATTTGCTACAAAAGGAAAACTTGCGCGGCTCTCATGTCACGGGTACTTGAGTAAGTGACATGCAGCAGGGTGTCCGCGGGGTCTTAAAAAGTATTAAAAGTTGATAAATCAATTTAGCGAAAATTAAGGCTATTAAAAAGTATTAAACGGCATTTTCCAAGGTATTAAAAGGTCCCACAGCAACGACAACATGAAAAACCCTTTAATTTACTGAAACGACATGTCGGGAAACCCCCTCAAGGCGGCCCCATGCATAGCGCGCCGTAAAATGCTGCTTATTATTTTAAGTTTCGTTGCCTTGCTCCGCTCTGTGGGGGGGGTCCCAAGGTGGGTAGACCGGCATACGCAACGCTCTGGGGGTCCAACGGCTCCGTGTGTAGCCCTATATGATCATTTTCTGATAACGATGAAATAGCCCGCCTCCCTCTCCCCACGTCTCCTGCTGCTGCTGGGCTGTCAGAAGAGGGGGAGGAAAAGAGAGGCAGGCACCGTTTATTAAATATTTTATATTATTATACTGAGAACAGAGTCGTTATCAATTTGTTTTAAAGCTCAATAAATAACAAAGAAGACCTCAGACCGGCACTTTTCTAATTTTGTACGGAAGATTTAAACTTTAACGGACATGTTGACCGGCGGAACATTTTTTTTAACGGAAACTGCCGCACGGTTCCCTCGTCCCTTGGAAGAGGCCGAGAGGTGGGTGTTTTTCATCTGCTGGTGGACTACCTGAGAGATATACAGCAGGAGAACACGCCGTCCACCGCGGAGAATAAACAGAAGGGCAACCATGCTCCGGAGTCTTCTTCGCTGCTTTTGGTGTATTTTGTGGCGGCAGCAGCGCCACTTACAGGCCTGGCATG